GGACTATGGCATAACCTAGGTTAGCATAGAACATTTGTAGAAACTTTCTTCAAATACTTAAGTATGAATAGTTCTCTAAAGTATTCTCTTCTTCTTTTCCAGCTTTTCTTGTTTCCCCTTCTTCCATTGAAGATCACAGCTTCACCAGGAACACAGGCAGAAGCTCTTATACAATGGAAGAATAGCTTGTCTTTTTCACCCTCGTCTCTAAATTCTTGGTCCATTAACAATATTGGCAATCTTTGCAACTGGACTTCTATCACCTGTGACAACTACACCAGAATGGTGTCTGAAATCAATCTTGTTAGTGCAAATATCACTGGAACATTAGCCCAGTTCAACTTCACCTCATTTTCTAATTTGACCCGCTTTGACCTCCACAATAATAGTCTTGTTGGATCAATTCCACGAACCATTGGCAGCCTGTCCAAGCTCACTCATCTAGACTTGAGCAACAACAATTTGGTAGATATTGTGCCAGTAGAGATAGAGCAGTTGATGGAGCTTCAATATCTCAGCCTGTTCAACAACACTCTCAACGGTAGCATCCCTTATCAAGTTAGTCATCTTCAAAAGGTATGGTACTTAGACCTTGGATGGAATTACTTAACAGCTCCTGATTGGTCCAAGTTCTTAGACATGCCTTTGTTGATTCACCTTGGATTTTCATCTAATGAACTAGAATCAGATTTCCCTCCTTTCATCATCAATTGTTGGAATCTTACTTTTCTAGACTTGTCAACCAATTCTTTGACTGGACCTATACCCGAATCAGTGTTCACCAATTTGATTAAGCTTAAAGCCTTCAATCTTAGTCATAATTCTTTCTTGGGTCCTTTTCCATCAAACATTTACATGCTTTCTAAGCTTGTAGCTCTTCAGCTCGGAGCCAACCAATTTAGTGGCCCAATTTCTCAAAGTATAGGTCTCTTGTCTAACCTTGAAATTTTAGAATTACATGAAAATCCTTTGGGGGGTAACATTCCGTCATCATTAGGTCGACTAAAGAAACTCAAGAAACTTGATCTTCATTCTAGTTCCTTAAATTCTACCATTCCTTTAGAGCTGGGTTTTTGTACCAATCTCACCTTTTTGGCCTTAGCTGGGAATCTGCTCACTGGTCAATTACCTCTGTCCTTCTCCAACTTGGTTAGAATCTCTTATTTGGATTTGTCCACAAATTTCCTTTCTAGTCAAATCTCACCCTTTCTTATTGGCAATTGGACCCAATTGATCTCATTGCAGCTTCAAAACAATAATTTTACTGGTAAGATTCCATCTCAGATTGGCTTATTGACAAAGCTAAGGATTCTTTGTTTGTATAACAACACGTTCTCTGACTCTATTCCCTCCGAGATGGAGAATTTAAAGAATCTTGAAGAGTTGGATCTTTCAAAAAACCAACTTTCTGGCTTATTTCCTTTAAGTCTTTGGAGTCTCACAAACCTTCAAAAGCTGCATCTTTCCAATAATAATCTCACTGGAACAATCCCTCCAATGATTGAAAATATGGTATTTCTTCAGTCTTTAATACTTAACACAAACCAATTCTCTGGTGAATTGCCAGAGAATATTTCCAAGCTTACCAATTTAGAAGTTATCTGTCTGCTCAGCAATAATTTCTCAGGTAGTATCCCTAAAGATTTTGGGAAATATAGCTACTCTTTGAGGGTTGTGAGCTTAGCAGACAATAACTTCTCTGGAGAACTCCCACCTGAATTGTGCAGTGGTCTCCTCCTTGAAAATATCACTGTCAATGGCAACAAGTTCACTGGGTCATTGCCAGCTTGCCTTGAGAATTGCACATTGTTAATAAGGGCTCGGTTTGAAGGGAACCAATTTACAGGTGACATCACAAATGCATTTGGGGTTCATCCAAACCTATATTTTATTTCTTTGAGTGACAATCAATTTACTGGTGAAATTTCTCCACAATGGGGGGAATGCCACAATCTCACCAATCTACAAATGGATAGAAATAGAATTTTTGGCCAAATACCTGCAGAGCTTGGTAAATTGAACAAGTTGGGTATTCTTAGTCTCAACTCCAATGATTTATTTGGGAATATTCCTGGTGAATTGGGAAATTTAAGCATGTTGTTCAATTTAAGTTTGAGCAAGAATCATTTAACTGGAGAGATACCTCATGATATAAGGGATTTACAAGATCTTGTATATCTTGATTTGTCAAAAAACAAATTGATTGGGAGTATACCAGAAGAGTTTGGGAATTTTAAAAAGTTACTGAGCTTGGATTTAAGCCACAACAATCTATCCGGTAGCATCCCACATGAGCTTGGAAACCTAATTTCAATTCAAATCACACTTGATCTAAGCAGCAATTCACTTTCAGGTGCAATCCCACAAGATCTGTCAAAGCTTGCATCACTAGAGAATCTTAATTTTTCACATAATCATCTCTCCGGCACAATCCCAGCAAGCTTTTCTAGTATGATTAGTCTCCATGTATTTGATTTCTCTTATAATGAGTTGACAGGTCCAATTCCAACTGGTAAGCAGTTTCAAAATGCTTCTAATAAAGCCTTTATTGGAAACTCAGATTTGTGTGGAAATGTTGATGGATTAAACCCTTGTAATTCAAGTTCTAGTAGTAGCAAGTCTAGCAAGATTAACACAAGGATTCTTATTGTTGTCCTTGTTCCGATTTGTGCCCTTTTCCTTCTAATATCAATTGTTGTGATGATTCTAATGCATTGCGGTTACAACAAACTACGTGATGAGAAGGCTAAAAGTAGTAAAATGTTTGAGAGTTTTGAGACAATGATACGGGGAAGGGAAAGGAAATTTACACTTGATGAAATAGTAAATGCTACAGAAGATTTTGATGAGAAGTATTGCATTGGAGAAGGAGGATTTGGAAGTGTTTACAAAGCCATGTTGTTTGAAGGTCAAGTAGTTGCCGTCAAAAAACTCAAGATGTCAGAGTCCAATGATATTCCAGCTACAAATCACCAAAGTTTTGAGAATGAGATTCGTGTTTTGACAGAAGTTAGGCACCGAAACATCATCAGGTTGCATGGATCATGTTCAAGAAGAGGATGCATGTATTTGGTTTATGAGTATGTTGAGAGAGGAAGTTTAAGAAATCTATTGTATGGAGTTGCGAGTGAAATGGAGTTGGGATGGGTGGCAAGGTTGAGAATTGTGCAAGGATTAGCTCATGCCCTTGCATATTTACACCATGACTGCTTTCCCGCCATTGTTCACCGAGATATCTCTTTGAATAACGTCTTGCTTGACTCTGAACTCGAGCCAAAACTCTCAGATTTTGGCATTGCGAGGTTACTAGATCCAAATTCTTCCAACTGGACAATAGTTGCTGGATCTTATGGTTATATGGCACCAGGTAAAGCTCACATTTGATAGATGTATGTTGATTGATAATGTTCCCTTAATTAGCAACAACCTCTAACAACTTGTTCTTTACTTTGTTTTCTTATTTTTCAGAGCTTGCACTCACAATGCGAGTGACAGATAAATGTGATGTTTATAGCTTCGGTGTCGTAACATTAGAAGTTATTATGGGGAAGCATCCAAGGGAGCTTCTAAACTCTTTATCATCATCAACATTTTCATTAGAAAACAAAGAACTGCTTCTGCAGGATGTGCTAGACCCTAGACTACCATCTCCCACTGGCCAAATAGCAAAGGAAGTTGTGCTTGTTAGCAAGTTAGGATTAGCATGCATGTGTATAGTTCCAGACTCTCGACCCACCATGCATTTTGTGGCACAAGAATTGTCAAAAAAAACACAAGCCTGCTTGGCTGAACCACTGGAGACAATAACCATTAGCAAGCTTACTAGCTATCAGATATAGAATGAAAAATAGGATCTTGTCTACGTTGCAATTATAGGCATTGCCAACCAAATCAAGGGTTTGAACTTTAGTCTCTCTTCATAAATAAGATTTTAGAGAATCCTCTATGTGTACCAAAATGTATTATATAGCACCTCAATAAGGGTCCCTTGCTCAATGCCATTGAGAATTGGTGTTACCTTTTCCCTGTATTTTAGTGGGGATGTCCACATATGTATTATGTCATCTAAATTCAGGGTTCAACTACCAAATTGGAAAAACATTGGTTTCTTTCTGGTGTGACAATTTGTCCAAATTCCAATCTAAGTCAACATGAATGTTAATTATTGTAAGAATTCAAGTTCCACTATATTAGTTTCTCAGTTATCTTCAATATAATAGCAGATTAGATTATCAAACTCATGTTGAAATATATTATTTTTCCTGTCATTGCTGCACTGAATGAATGACGATTGCTCTTCTTCTTCCTTTTTTTTTTTTTTCTTTTTGGCCCATCATATGAGGATGGCTCTTGGGTATGTTAAAAGTTCAGGCTCTATTTGTCTTATCTCGTATGAGCCCACATTTTAAGCCCTAGACTTTTCCCATTTTAGCATGTGAGGCCCCAAACCAAAAAACCAACATAAAACCCTCGAACACCACGCGTAGAGTTATGGTTGCCCAGGTTAACAAAAATTATAAAATATTATTTTTAGAAATATTAACTTTATTTAATTTGATGAATAAAAATAATTAAAAACTATAAATATTAACTAATAAAAAATAAAATAACTAATATTTATTAATTAATAAACTTAAATTTTTAGACATAATTTAAAAAAATTAAAAATTAAAAAAATTAACATCATTATCATTTTTTATGATGATAATAACAATAATTAAAACACCAGAAAATTAACCCTACGGTGTAACGGCAATCCGGATGTGCCGTCAAGTGACCAAAACGGCCGCTAGTCTTTGGCGTGTGGGGCACTTTCTTTCCCTGTCATCACTGACATGGCAAGCTTCTAATGGAAGCTTTAAGCCTCTAGCTAGAAAATTTCTGTTGTATACCCGGGATACCACCGACGTGGTATCCGGGCCAATGAAAGGATGACATTTCTGTTTTTTCAGTCAGATGATTCATCAAGTGTGAAAAAAAATACTAAGCTGATGAAATTTTTATTGGTACGAGATACCACATCAGTGGTATCCCAGGATATAACAGAAGGTCTCCTCTAATCAAAGTAGACAAATTCGTTTCGTATCAGTTGATATAATTAGTAACTATTGATTTTTAAACTAAACCAAAATGGTATAAGGGTAAAATTCGTTTTGATTAAATTTCAATTTTTTTGATCAAATTCTAGTGTGTCGATCAATATTTTGCTTACCAAGCTGATATGTCGAAATTACACAAGACAATTCAAATCTTAAAAAAAAAAAAAGGTAAAAAGGCATATCAGCCGTTGTACTCAATTAATGATGG